CCGCTGCTGACGCGAAGGCTCGGTCACCACGAAAACCACTGGTGAGGTCCCGATTTTCGTGCAAGTTGGCGAGGTACGTCTGAAGGGTGAGTCTTTCGTAGAAGATCACGTCACGTGCTGATACTGTTTCCTTTGTGTGGACGTCGAAGATTCTCCATGCGTTGTAATTTTTCTCGATGCCGAGGTGTAGTCCCCACTGTGCCCGTTGCGAAAATCTTCCCGCTCGTGCTTCTGGGGGTCTGTACTGTACCATGCACCCGAAGACTCGTAACATTTTTGTGCTGCCCTGCTTCCCTGTCCACAGCAGATGCGGTGATGCGTTGTTCGGGAGTGATGACGATGACAACAAATTGTGCAGCATGACAGCGTGGTCCATTGCTGCTGGCCACTGGTGGTTGGGTAGCCGCATGCCACGCAACAGTTTGCGCATGCTGTTCTGCAGGGTCCTGTTCATTCGTTCTGCAACACCTTGCTGCTGATGTGCGTAGGGAAGGGAGAGGAGTTGCTTGATCCCCCTTTCCGCCAAGAACTGCTTGAAGCGTTGAGAGGTGTACTCGCCACCTCCGTCTGACTGGAAACTTTTCAGTTGTGTTCCAGACTCTCTCTCTGCTATCGGTAGCCAGGCGGCAAATGCTGCGAGTGTCATGTCGCGGCTGGGTAGGTTGCGGTGCCAGACATATCGAGTGGCGGCGTCGATGAAGGTGATGGTGTAGTTGTAGTTGACTTGTCCTGGGTCGCGATTGTAGAGGATGTCGCTGTAGACCTTTTCGAGTGGAGTGTACGCTGGAGCGCTCGGGTTGTGGTGTGGAGCAAACGGTCGATGAGGTAAGTCGGCTTCGGGACATATAAGGCAAGTCCCCCGTGCCTTTTGGAGTTCTCTGCCATCGGGTAGAAGTAGAGAGTCTTTGTCAAGGACTCCTGCTCTTATCGTGTTATTTAAAACCGTATTGCTTGGATGTCCTGTGCGTGCGTGCCAGATTTCTTCAGAGGCGCGATGTCCGGGTGAACGCTGATATGCGTCGGAGTTGGAGTAGAAGCTGGCGACGAGGTTGGCGCTTCGGTGGACTTCCCGTTGAGTTGGATTTAGCTGTTGCGCGAGTGTTGGTGGTGCTTCGTCAACTGTGACTGGTGTCGTTGTTCCTGCTGCTGCTGATGTTGTTGCTGTTGCCGATGTTGTAGCTGCTGCCGATGTTGTTGCTGCTGCCGATGTTGTTGCTGCTGCCGATGTTGTTGCTGCTGCCGATGTTGTTGCTGCTGCCGATGTTGTTGCTGCTGCCGATGTTGTTGCCTCTGCTTCTTGCTGAATCGTTGCTAACGCTCTTGTTCGTTCTGCTTCAGGGATAGTGTGGGAGTACCAGAAACCTCCCGGGCTGAAGTCAGGGTCGAGATCTGGAGGGTGTGTCCAATCAGCAAAGTTCACGATGGCGTCGCTATCTGCAGTGCCGAGGTCGGGAACGAAGTCGAGAACGAAGACGTTGTTCTTCAGCACTGCCTTCCCGATGTATAGACCGCCTTTCCCGTGGTAAAGCTTGAACTCCTGAGTCGTGCTGTCGGCTTCCAGATGAATTCCTTTCGCCATCAACTGACTGACGCTCAGTAAGTTGTATCCGAGCCCTTCAGCAATGAGTACCTTGGACATGTGTAGTATAACATTGGTTTCTCTCGACTGAAGTTGTACCACTCCTTGCCGTCTTGTGCGCAGGTTTTGATTGTTGGCGACCGTGATGATCACTTCTCGTTGGAGTCGATGTTCGCGTTGTACGAAACGCCCGGACGAGCACGTGTGTTGCCCACAGCAGCTGTCCAAGAACCAGGTGTCTTGCCCGGACGGTTCACTTTGAGCGATGGCGGCGTAAGTCGGATTTGGATGGAGTGATTCACGACGAGGTGTCCTGTTGTCGAGCTCCTCTTCCGGTGAGTAATGGGGTGGTGACTCTGTTATGCAGGAGTCGTTTATCTTGACCATGCAGTTGGCTATGTGTTTTGCTCCTTGTGCAGGTTGTCCGGTTGAGGTCGTTGAAGCTTGAAGTGTGGTTGTCGAGCTTGCTTGTGTCGAAGTAACTTGGGTGCTTGAAGGCCGCAGTTGTCGCTGTGGTGTCGTCTGTCGAGACGGGCAGTGCGTCCGTGGGTGTCCTGATGTTTTGCAGATATGACAGAATGGAGGTACTAGCTTCGGCTGCTGCTGTCGATTGTTGAAGTTGTTGTGTCGTTGTTGAGTATGGAAAGCAAACTCCGGTGCTGATGTCCTTTTCTTGTGTCTTTCTTCTTGCAGGTCCATATCCTGCTGCTCGGCGTGAATTTCGGCGCAAAGTGCCGCTTCGGAGATTCTCCCGTGTGCTCGAAGAATTGCTTTGGTGGCGCGCCACTGAGGACCGAGGCCACCGATGACGACTGTTACGAAGGCGTCTTCAGAGATTGACCCTCCACATCGAAGAAGCTTGTCGCGCAATTCGCGACATCGGCTGATATACGCCAACCCTTTTTCTCCTTGTTTCATTTCAACTGTTGTCAGCTGTGCCATTAACCTGCTCTGGTTTACGCTGTCTGTTGCCTGATACAGATTCTTCAGATGACCGTACGCGAGTTCCGCCGAGTTGCCGAAGTTCCGGTAAGAGCGAATGTTCTGCTGCTGGGTTGGTGTGATATTTCTCAGTAGAATAGTATACGCCATCATTGATTGATACGTATACTGCTGCTTCTCATACTGTGTGCCGTTTGCTGGGTATTGCAGGGATCCGTCGAAGAAGCCGAGTATCTGCGCGCCCTCCATCATCAACTCGAATTCGAAGGACCAGGTAAAGAAGTCCTTTCCGTCGAAAGGTCTTGACGTCTGTAATTTCAGAACATGTGCGAACTGCGACTGGACTTGTAAAGCATCCATTGGTTTGTCTTGCGCAGGTGGAGGTTGAGGCAGGAAGCTGATCGACCCGCGTTCGTACGGGGCGAAGGTGGGTTGTTGCTGTTGATTTCCTCGCGCGAATGACGACCCGTCAAGGCTCATGGGTGCTGCTCCGTTGTTGCTGTTGTGTGTCTGTGCAGGTCCCGACTGCTGGTGTTGCTCGTAGAAGGACATGAAGGAGAAAAATTTCTCCATCATGCTCTGGTCGAAGTCAGAAGGGTGGTTCGTGGGCGTCTCGGTTGAAGTTCCCCTTGGTCTTGCTGCCGTGCCTTCTTCTGTCTGCAAGCCAGAAGCTGGTGGTGGAGTAGGAGTAGTGCCTGAGGAGCCATTAGGAGAGCTCCTTTCCTTGTTTGTTGCCATGTCTTGAAAAGATTTTAAAAGGAGTTAGAGTTTTCCCCTGTCTGCTCTCATACCATGTTGGGCTGAGAAATAGCCCTTAGGATCTTTGCAGAGGAGAACTCTAGGGTAGAGACTTGTAATAGCGGAAGCTTTTAGTGAAGATTATGAACCAACCTTGCACTGGTGTGTGAGAGCAAAGTAGATTGAATTAAACAAACAAGTACAAGGATTTATATAAGAGTACAGGGAATACGAATAGATAGATAACTGTATTGCTGTTGCGGTTCGATATAGTGCGACTCGGGCAACTGCTCTGTAACGAGTCAGTTGTGTGTCCTTAACTGTGGCGCTGTAAATGTCGAGTCAAAGGTCGCTGACCTTTGACTTTCTCGTAACCTCCAGGAGGTTACCCTAACCTCCGAAGTTGACTCGATGCTTCGATTGGGACTGCTTCGCTTGGTGCCTTGGATTTTGACACGACAGAAGCGCACTTTAAGACTTATTGTTTCCAACACAGTCAACGCCATTGTTATTGCTATTTGCAGATGTCTGGGACGTTCGTGCCGCATTCCACGTGGAGCTGCGTTCACCGTCTTTGGCACCGTAGTCGTGAGATATTCCCAAACCAAATATCATCGAGAAATGTGCTGCCTGAATACCGTAAGTTTCGACTTATCAACCCATGAAGATAATGAAGTAGGGCATTGCTCTCACACTATACCAATTAACATCGGGGACTTCTTCAATAGGGGTGCTTGCTGCACCGATTTACAGTTAACATGCAGTCTTGCTGCATGTATGTTTGCTAAAGTTCTTTGCTTCGTCTTAATTAATTTGCATGTATTTTGCTACCCTTGCTGGTTCTAAAAAATGCAATTGTAACATTTTTAAACAAATTGAGAACTGCAGAAATCCTGATCCAGCACAGGATTCCCCATTCTTTAGAGCGTCTAATCGCCCATCACGTGTATCGTGCCGCTTATTGCCAGCACAGCTCTGTTTAGGCCGACGCCGCGTCACGTTTGTGCATCCCTTGTGCCACGTTGCCACAGATATATTACATGTGCTCTCAAAAAGGACCAATCAGAGTTGTTTGCCAACAACTGCTGTCCCAGGTGAATGGTGTTTGCAAACTGACGACTGGCTGCGTTGGCACCAACGAGACCGCGCTGCGCGCACTTGGTTTATTTCTTTTTCGGGTTGAACGAGTGGCCATCTGTGCGCGCACTTTAGGGTTCATGAACGAGTGTGCGCAGAGTGACTGGCTGCGTTGGCACACACATGAACTTTACCTGGTCACTCGAATCCACGGAGCCCGCCCCGAAAATTGTCAAGTCGTTTTTTTTCGGGCACCCTGCTTAAGTCACTGAGCGCGTTCAATATATTCACGATCTGCTTTCCCTCCCACGATAAATGGGTATTCACGGGCGCTTACCGCCCAAAAGTGGCGGAATTCCACATGGAGCAACGTGGTACTGCCGTAGGTTGGGCAGCTGCTTTAGGAGGAAAGAGAGTGGTTGGACCTGGAGGTCGAAACCAGACTGGAGGGGTCACTCTGCCTTCCCCATTCTCGAACTCGGGTGAGCCAGACCTCACAGAGGATGCAGAGGAGGCCCTGCTGTTGCGCTTGCTCAAGCGTAAAGCATCTAGGAAACAGACTGGGAGGAAGCGGAAGACGGGTTCACTGAATAAGTTACAAAGGCAAACCGCAAACGAACCTCTTAGGACCTCGCCCCATGGCACCGCCGCTGAACCCGAGCCGATGACTGAGACGGAAGCCGCTGATGCACTTGGCACCGTAACCATAGCTGGCCTGCACGGTCAACTCGTAACTTTTCCTGCAGACTCGGAAGCTTTGCGCGGTGGTTTCCATCACTCGCAAGTGGAGGAAGGCGACGTTGGAGACGTTGAGGCAGGCGGCGAGGAGGGCCATGCGGAAAGTGAGGAATATGACGACCACGAAGGCGAGGAACAAGAGGACGGTGAAGATGCCGCAGGCGATGAGAATCAACAGCAGCCACATTTCGAGCCAGTTCTCCCCGCTGCGCACGCTGGAGCAGCAGTTGGTAACGGGGCTGCGCCGTGTGAAAACCAGGTTCCGATCAGAGGAGCCCGTTCAGCTCGTAAGCACATTGGTCGTAATTTTCACCTTGCTTATTTCTCTCCTACTGGCACTCGGCTGATTCCAATGTATTTGTTAGTGATGATGCTGTCTTTGCACACCCGGCGCATAAACCTTTCTTCCAACGATGCTCACATTTTCTCGTTGCAGTTCCCGATGCGCATCATGCCGCTATCAACCGACGACTTGAAGCCGAGCTGGAGGACCTGCGCAACACCTTGGCGGTGATGCAGTACAATCAAACGACCCAGCAGCAGATCGAAAAGGAGAGGGATGAGCTGCGTCAAGAGGTTTCGGCGCTTCGGGATGAGATTGAGGCGTTTCGATCCGGAACGCACGCAATAGATGGACCCGATGACGTGGACGACCCCCGAATCAACATGGACAGGCTGCCGAAGGTGGACGGGAAAATCCACATTCCCACCAGCTTGTCCGACGACGAGGCGTTCGCGGTGAGTGCTTTGCTTTAAGAGTGATTTACAGTTCTACCCCAATACTAACCGTCACACCTAACCCTGGCCTGACGTCTGTTTCATCTGTTTTTTGTCTCCCGTTCCCTGAAACAGAAAAACGCGCTCGCCGTGTACGTCGGGATGATTACTGCTGGGCCGGCAAAGTCGATGCAGTTCTACCCCGATTGGCCAGACCTGGTTCCTTTGATGGTGCGGAGGTATGTGCGGCTGGGTGTTTGCAAGGACCTGTATTACTTCGTGGCAGGAGGTGACAAGCTGAAGGAGGACGAGGCAATGGATAAGATTGCCAACAAGCGGCAAACTATGAACAAGACTATGAAGCTTTATGGCTGCGGCGCTGGAGGTGGCGTGGCGAAGGAAAGGTGGCACGAGCTGGAGCGGGTCGGCCTGAGGCCGACCGAGTTTAGAGATCCAGTCGTTTGGACGGCTTACTTCAAGGACGGTGAGTCTTTGAGTGTTTGTTAAGCTCCTCTAAACTTTTGTAGCTGCAGTCACTGACGATTGGTTTTTCTACTTCCTTGCAGGAAAATACGGCTCACGATGGCATTGCTCTGCTGAAGGCATACCGTTTGCTAACCTGGCATTTGTGCTGGCTGTCACGAAGGGTTTCTGCAGCAACCAAGCCACAACTTTCCCCCTGAAGATCCCTGCCCTAGGCTATCTCTGCCATGTGGTAAGTGTTTTTCGTATATATATGCTGCAACTTTGTGCTTAAAAGCCTCCTGTAATGAACAGTGTTTAACAATACCTTGTGCTTTCTTCCAGGTGGAGTGGCCCATGGCTCACTGGAAGGGCAAGAACTCGCCTTCCCTGGACACAGTCGAGCTCAACAACCGCAACTGTGTGACAGCAAAGACTGCTGTCTGTGCATCCTGGCTGAAGGATTGTCTCGAAAGGAACCCTGCGCTGTTCAAGGCAGATGAGCCGCAGGGTTTTGAGATGTGTGAGGGTTTCAAGGATGGTAACAAGGAGTTTAAAGTGAGGATTTTAATTGAGGGCTGGGAATCCTATTTCTTTCCTCGTGGGGTTCCTCAGGGAGGGGAGTGGCCTGAGGCTTATTAACCTGCTAATTTTGTAACTCCTTTTTTGTTAATGGTATTGATTTCTGTTTCAATTTCCTGAAGTAGCTAATAGTACGGTAGCATCAATAACAAATGTAGCATTAATTAATTTTAAATGTGAATCGTAGCATTACAAAATTCATATTTATCGATAATCGAAACAGTACCTCCGCTATAGACACATAATGGCACAATAAAACATGTTTCACAATTCAAGGTTCGAGCAATTCGAAATCTAGAACACTGTCGGTGTATTGAGCTGTTACCACGATCGGTTACCTCGTTACCGCGCAGCACGAAGTTCGTCGGGTAACAGTAACCAGTCTCTGGACGAAAATTTCAGGCCCATCCCCCACGACCGAGAAGCAGACGGTAAACTGCCACGCAAGCTCAGTCTCCGGAGGAACATGGGTCAACTCCGGGGGGCTCGGGAAATGGTCAAACACCGAGCACTCCCGAAGCCCCCTTCTTCCGTGATTGCGGGATACTGGCAAACTTGGCGGTGTTGGCGAGAACCTGGCCGAGAACTACGCGTCACTGTAGCAGAAAAAGCGGGCGTAACCTCTGGTTCACGCGGTTCGCGGAAAACGGGAAATTAAGCCCATACGCCACTCCATTTACGGGGCACTAGGGAAACGGCCAATTTCAGCTAGTTACTCGCGTATAATTTCCCAAAAACTGCCATAATTTTTCCCTACATTTTTCTGATGTACTCGGCAATCAGAGTCTCGTTGAACTTCAGTCAGGGACTGAGAGAGCGTATAACCGGCCGTTTCCGTTCCAGTGAAACCGACAGATTTGAATTAGCAAGTTTCTACTTCAACTGGAAACTAGCAACTTGATTTGAATCCTGCATCTCCCGTCATGGGCTTTTGGCGAGATCAATTTCGGCGAGTCCGCAGGATGCGTCACGTCACGAATGAAGTCCATTTGGTACCAATAGCTTCGGAATCTAAGACGAACGGAGCACAGGTAGGTGTCTCTTACTGATGCTCCTGAGGAACTTCTGTTCTCGGTTTGCAACCGACTGTTTCAGTCCCACCTGCACTACTGCTGCCTGCCATGCGAGACGTCAGCAGCATTTAGACCATGATGAAGCGGCAGAGCAAACTTTCACAAATTTGGAGCAACAGGCTCGTTCGTGACTCTTGAGCAGCAAGTTTGCCATTTTCTGGCTTGATAATTGAGCAAATCAAGCTCAGTGCAGGTACAACCAGCAACGAGTCCGCACTAGAAAAAGTGCATGGGTAAGGGCGAGACGAAATCTGATCCGTTCAGGGAAGCTCCTGGAGTTGAATCAACTACTGGTGTGCGTCGTCCTTCGTTCCCTCTCACTTCGTTTGTTGGTTATTTCACCCAACTGGATCCCATCATGCCTAGTACCAAGGAAGACGAGAGGCACAAGCCAATGAGAGGAGCCCCGACAGGAACTGGCGGAGCAGAGCTGAATTCCAGTGATTCTGATGCTGGCAGTAGCAAGGCCAAGGAAGTGGGGAAGGTAGGCGCTGCCAAACATGAGCAGTGGTTAGAGCTTCAAAATTTGGAAGAGTGGCTGGATGCCTTGCTGGGGGCAGGACAGTACCAGCAGGGTGGACAAGGTCAATTCACTGCCGCAAACAGAGGGGAAGCAGAGAAGGCGGTAGAGGAAGAAGACAAGATTATGACGCGAAAGAAGCACGCTTGTTGCAGTTCACTGTGAAATTGGGGATGAGAAATCCTGGGGTGTTGCAAAGCGCACACGGTTATGCAGTCCAGAATGACCCGGATGGAGCGGGACAGCCCACCGGGGCAACCGGAGGAGCAGCAGGGAGAGCAATAGTGGAGGAACGTTCAAAGCCACTTCAGCTGCTGTCTAGGCTGGACATGGTTCACTACTTGAACGTGACGGGCGGGTGGGATGAGGATCTGCGTGAATGCTGCTTTTAGCGTGCAGTGAGCCAGCGAGCTCTTGCCATAAAGAACCTGGAGGACTTGCGTCGCCACCTGCGCGTGCAGCAGCCTCGTTGCATCCCCGCAGCAGACCCCAAGCAGCAGCAGCATCATGCAATGTCTCCTCAGGTGCTATTTGTGTGGAAGCCCGAGAGGGCGCCTCGCCTTTGCGCAGAACGGATGTTTCTCGAGTGGATGGCTGAGCCTTGTGTGGGTGTGCTCATGAACCTGCAGAAGATCAGATCTCGTCTGCCTGCTATCCTGGATGCAACAGCTGCTCCAGCTGCCCCTGTTGCTGCCCCTGTTGCTGCCCTTGCTGCTGCTCCTGCTCTTCCTGCTGCTCCTCCTGCCCCTGCTGCTGCCCCTGCTGTTCCTGCTGCTCCTCCTGCTCCTGCTGCTTCTCCAGTGTGGTCCTGCTGCTGGCGCTGCAGCGGCTGCTGGGCTGCCTACCGCCGTGCTGTCAATGTCTCAACGTTCCTTGTGCTTGTAGCGAGATCCCCTCACCTTGTGACTCTGTGGAAAGCTCATTTGGTCTCGTCTTCGTCTGCCTGGCCAGCAATTGTCACTGAGCTGGGGGGGAGCAGGCAGGGGGAGATTGACAATTTTGCGTCCATGCTGGTGCAGGTGCTGGGGGTGAAGGAGAGTGCTGATCTAAAGGAAGGGTTTGGGTTCTTTGTGCAGCAACTGCTGTCAGGCGGGCTGGAGATGGCGCATGCACAGGGGAGGGGGGGAGGTGGGGGCAAGGCTGCTGAGAAGGTGCATGGGAAGGGGAAGGGGATGGGGTTGGCTGAGGAGAAGGCTGTCGAGAAGACGTATGGGGGGGCGAAGGGCATGTGCGAGGCTTCACCTGGGAGGGAGGATGGGAGACACGGAGAGGAAGAGGCAGGGAGCAAGGTAGAGATGGATGGGGTTGTTGGCGTGTGGGGGAGGGCACGAAAGGACGTGAAGTGGAGGGCGCATCTGAAGGGACGTGTGTGGGAGAGGTATGTGGATGGCATGAAGTGGATTCTGGAACATGGTGGGGGGGAAGGGAGGGAGTTCTGGTGCAGCCACTGCAGTGAGGACAGCAGCAGCAGCAGCAGCAGCATCAGCAGTTCTGGCAGCAGCAGTTGGAGAAGCAGTGCTCCAAAGGGTATGCATGTGAGTGGTGTAAATGCGACCGATTTCGCCCTTGCTGTCACCACAGTGTTATTTAAACCAGAGCACTGGATGGATGCATGGTTGTTCTTCCATGATGGGAACAATTTGAACAAGATGAAGGTAGAAAATGCAGCTGTTGAGGTGGCCAGGAAGAGGCTGCTGCATTGCCTGAAGCAGACAAAGGGGATGGATGGAGAAGAAGGGGCAGATGCAGGAGCGGCCCTGCCTGGTTCAAACTCTAGACTTGTGCCTGTCAATACAAAGCCGGTGGTTGCTGCACTCACCTATCGAGTTGGTTGCATCTTGCAGTGGATCCGGGTCTACGGCTCAGATTTCATCTCGGAGAAACAGTGCTTCATAAACGACCCTCAGAGCAAGGTCAGGTCCATGCGCCATCCGCTTCGGGACCTTCCTAGCCTTCTGCTCAGGTTCGGCGCCATCCCGAAGCCTCTAGAGGGAAGCAGCATTGCTTTGGAGTGGGAGGAGTGGCCTGCAGGCGAGGAAGCTGCTGTGAAGTTTCCTGTGAACCGAAAGGAGAGGTGTTTTGGGCTTGGGATAGTGGAGGAGCGTGGTGAAGCAGCTGAGAAGCTGATTGGGCATCCTGCAGAAGGCCAAGGAGGTAGTCAAGAAGGAGAATGGAGCATGGCGCGTGGGATAGCTGAAGCAGGAGAGGGCAGCAGGCGTGCAAGGAGGAGAGTGTCCAAGTCGATAGAGCAAGGAGCTTGGGAGGAATCCATACAGAGCAGAGCGCGTGGAAGAGCCAAAGCATCTGGGAACGACGAGCAGAGAGTAACACTGCCACCCCCGAGAAGGAAGCTTCCTATTGTTCGCTGCGAGGCAGATGTGGACTTCCTGGTGGGGTTTGCCGGGTATGTCATGCACCCTCCTGCCTGCACCCAGTGCAGCACCTGCTCTGCGGAATTCATGCAATCCGTGTGCATGGCTGCTCTCACTGTCAACTTTGCTTACTGCCCCGTCAGCCATCTGTTCTCCCGCTTGCTCTCGGTCTTCCCTCCCTCCTCCCCTGGCTTCGACAAGCTGGTTGAGTGTCTGGACCTCCCCGCACGCCTGCCCAGGCCGTTGAACCTGCACATGCTGCTGAGACGAGCGGAGCAAGTGCCTCTGTACTTCCTCATTCACATGGCAGTGTGGTGCGCTCGTCCTCTTCTGAATCTTGCTTGTTCTGAGGGAGGGTACAGTGAGAAAGGGCAGGGAGTGCAGTCAGGTGCACGAAAAAATGAAGTGGCGGAAATGGGAAAAGGTGGCAGTGTGAAGGTGCAAGGCTGCTGGGATGGTGAGGTGTGGGAAGAGGTGGAAATATGGTACTTTGCAGCAATGAAGACATGGATGTCAAACCTGAGGGTTGAGGGAGGGAGTGAGGAGTGCAGCGGCAGCAGAGAGCGGGAGAGGCCTACAGGGGGGTTCGATATCACGTGGGCTCTTGCAGCGGCGATCATCCCGAGATACTGTGAGGGGTTGCAGGGGCAGCAAAGGTCTGCCATGGGGAGCAGCAACAAGGGCAGCAGCAGCAGCAGCGGCGGCGGCTGTGAGAAGAAGGGCGAGAAGGGGGAGGAGCCGGCGTATCTGAAGGCATGGCCAGGGGGAGTCAATCTGGTGGCATGTCTGCGAGAGATGCTGCTGGGGGAGCCGTGCTACCACCCTGCCTCCCCTGCTGCCCCTTCCATCCATGCTACTGCTTCCACCCATCCTGCTGCTTCCACCCATCCTGCTGCTTCCACCCATCCTGCAGATAGCATCCGAGCTGGATCTGCTGCTACCGCTGCTGCTGCTTCAGGTGTCCGAGGCCGTGTGTGCGGTGCTGCGGGATGTGGGATGGTGGAGGGTGGCGGAGTGAAGCTGAGGAGGTGCGGTGGGTGTGGCAAGGTGGCGTATTGCAGCAGAGAGTGCCAAAAGGCGCACTGGCCCTCCCACAAGCTCACATGCCCTGGCAGGAACAGCGGGGAGAAGAATGGGAAGGATGGGAGTGGGGTTGGGAGCAAGGATGGTCGCATAAAAATTGGCAAGGAGAGTGATTGTGAGGGTTGCGGTGAGAGTGGTGGTAAGGAAATATGCAGGCAGGTTGGAAAGATGTTTGGCGAGGTCAGTTGCATAGGCAGGCGCAAGGACAGTGCTAGGCATACGTGTGAAAGCGTCAGTGAGGAAAGCTTGAAGGTTGGTGGCAAAGCTGAGAAAAGGAAGGAAGAGAGAAGGAAGGTGGGGGCGGAGGGGAGAAGAGGGAAGGATAGGGGTGCGCAGTAGCTCAAAGATTGCAGGAGGTTTAGGGAGAATACAGAGGGACTATGACAGAGGAATCACAGATGAGAGAGCTTTAAGGCTTGGTAAATTTAATGCTGTGGGATACTTTGGCTTTTGATTACTGAATGTTTCATTGCCATTACATGCCAACATGCTGCATAGCGGACAGCAACAAGAGAAAAAATCTCAGCCCTGGAATATTTGGATATAAATCAGTTCTCACCATCAGTTCCCACCATGTGCACCCCTAGACCCTGCTGTGCAATGTATTGCACCACCTCACTGCATCTTCATCCTTCCACAGCGCATCGTCTGAACGTCGTCATGAACAAGTGGTGTGGGATGTGAGAGGGGCGTCCACGAAAAGGCAGCAGAATGAAGACATGTGGGATTGGAGCATGCACAGCCAGAAAAGGAAGCGTAGTGGCTCAGTATGTGTAAAAAAGGCGTGAGAGAGGAGAGGAGAGTACTGGTCAGACATAAATCCCACCAAAACGCTAACTACCCCATCATTGCAACACCCAGCATCACACCATGACACCAACACAGAACACACCGGCGTGTTGACTTGTTGGAAGATAATTACCCCCACTGTATACAAACCACCATCCCACCACCCCATGACCCACCAACACCTTGAGCCGTCGGAATATGGTCACTCCCCGCCACGCAACCATCAGTTCAAGGTCCTGCGGCGTCGATACCACCACCGCTCCTGGTGAGGGGCATGGGTGGATGAATGGGTGGGGAAGGAACAGTGGATGGGTGAGACGGAAGAGACGATTGGAGGAGAGGAGGGTGGAGGACTGCGAGCAGATTCAGCAAATGAGAAAGTGAGTGCGAGTCACGAGGCATCCGTGGGGGCAGGGTGCTGTGGTGTGTTGACACCATCAGCAGTGCTGGGAGCATGGGGCAGGCAGTGTGGTGTGACAGCACACCTCCCCAGCTGCACCTCCCCAGTGGCCATTCAGTGGGGCCACCACCAGCACATGCACCAACCCATCTCCACCTCTTCCTCCGATAGTGCTGGCCTCATACCATCCCATCCCATCCCATCTCAACTCCTCCCTCCCCTCCTGCTCCATCCCATCCCATCCCATCCCATTCCATCCCATCCCATCCCATCCCATCCCATCCCATCCCAACCCATCCCATCCCATCCCATCCCATCCCATTGCATCGCATCCCATCCCATCCCATCCCATCCCATCCCATCCCAAACCACCCCATCCCCACAACCATCTCTCTCCCCCCCCCCCCCCCCCCCTCCCCCCCCCACCCCCCCCCCCCACACACCCCATCCCATCCCATCCCATCCCCTCCCCTCCCCTCCCCTCCCTTCCAATTTTCTCCCCTCCTGTCCCCTCCTTGATCACCGCGCTACACAGCGGCCACGTGAGCAGGCACGAGGAAGCCCATGGACATGCAGAGCACGCCGAGCGCCTGCAGTGGCAACATGGGCGCGTGGGTTTGGGCGAGGCCAGCAAGGGGCGGCCGGTAGTCTCTAGGTCCAGCGAGCAGAGGGCAGCCGGCGATGTCCAGGGCGAGCAAGTTGGGCAGTGAGGGGCCGACCACGTCGGCGTTTAGCAGCCCCACCTGCAGACGCATGTGACGGCGTGGGACACTGCCGGGTTCACTGGGGGGACGGAGGATGGGGGGACAGGGAGATGGGGGAATGGGGAGAGGATTGATTGGGGATGGAGGAGGGGGTAGGAGGAACGGGGGGAGGGAGTGATGCGGGTGGGAATACGGGTATGTGAGAGGCATGGGGTGAGAAGCAAGGGTGACAGACACGGGTTCAAACGAATTCAGGAAAAGGGACGGGGCAAGGTGAATGGGGTAAGAGGCATTGTAAGAGAGGAACGGGGTGAAAGGGCTGGGACGACTGGTGCTTGAACTGAAGGAGGCAGGGGTGAGCAAGGCATGTGTGGAAGCCCGTGGGAATGCAGAGCCACCTTTCGCGGACGCCAGCCACGATGTGTTTCAACCCGGGCAGCAACAGGCTGTCGTCATCACCGCCTCTGCTGCCAATGCCGCTTCTATTGCTGCGGCTGCTGCCGAAAGCCTGCTGATGAAACCCCTGCTGCTGCTGCCATGTGGAGTCCAGATGCTCCCACCTGTGCTGCCTAGCGTGCTGCTGCAAGTCGTACTGCGGGGAAAGGCACCTATGCTGCCTATACGCACGGCACTGTTGCTGTCTAGCGTGCTGCTGAGATTCGCGGGATGATATATCTCAGCGGACGAAAAACGCCGCCCAATTTCGCGGTTCAGAAGGGACAACGGCCCTCCTCGGGATTGACGAGCTCGCGACGACCTCCGAGCTCCGAGCTGGGCCCAAATGGCGTCCCAGGGGCCTCGTGAGCCCTCGGGAATGTCGACAATCCGACGACATAGGTTTGCGCTCGGAGATTCCTGAGAAGTAAATCTCAGCGGACAAAATAGGAGAGCTCGCCACGTCGAGCCGCGACTGCCGCCACACGGACCAATAGGGGGGAGCCGGACCGTCCCCACCGTGTACTAGGCTGCCACGACGTGGCCGTCGTGGCCACGCGTCGCCCCAGCGGTGATTTTCCCAAAGCGGGAAAACATTCACACCTTTGAAAATGGGCCAGCTCGATCCACGCGGCAAAAATCGGACCGTCCAGGATGTAACTGTTCTGTGGCATCGCGTGTTGCATGCGATGTCGGTGTCTACCAGTACATCCACAGGTCCACAACCAAGCCACGCGGCACAATCCCAACGCTATCTATGTTCAATGAACCTAAGGAAACAGCCAAGCGCGCCGAATGTAAGTCGGCGCCGATCTTTGGGCGCCCACGGTAGGACTGCCACGGTGGGATTCAAGAATTCCGGCACCCTCGGAGATTCGAGCCTGCATGCAGTAATTTCGGTACTAAGAGGCCAATGTCGGCCCCAAGCCACGTAACACACGCCCATTCCACCGTGGAAAGGGCCTGGCTTATGCCCCTTCGGTGCAGCGCGAAGTCACAATAGCCATGCTTGGCGCGTGGCACTTCGGGCAGTGCGCCGCCTATGCGAGAACACATGCACGGCGGCAGGAGCATAGGGGTGTGCGTGAATCGCAGCAGCGTTGGAGTCGCTCAGGACCATACCCGTCCGTGACCGTGCGGGCCTGCTCATTCCCATGTCCGTTCCTGCGTTTCTTCCTGCTCTCTCGTGCACTTAGAATTTTCAGTTGCCAGTAGGGTACTCGGTTGCCGACTTGGTCAGTAGACGGTTCAAGTCGACGACGCATGGCCAGAGGTCGCCCTAGAGCACAATAGCCGCAACCCATTCCACCCCCTGCCGACTCTGTAGACGCCGACATCAAAGCGCAGTTAGAACGGCTCAAGGTCGAAGCCGAGTTAGACGCACTTGAGCGAGAATTCGAAGAAGACCGCCGCCGCGGAACTCTACGCGCGTTCACCGCATCCGTGAATCAGTACCGTCTCTGGTTTACCGACCTCCGCATCGCAAACGGACGACGGTAGAGCAACATACGTGCTGCCACATGGCCGACGTCGACATGACTGACGCTAGACCATCCACCGACCACAGTCCGACATCTACCGAGGAAGAGACGCTCCCCTTACTCTATGATCTTGACAAGCTGACGCAGATTCCGGAAGGGGAGTTCACCAAGGACATTCCCCCACCGCCGATCGGGGATTTCAACAAGAAAAAGAAACAGAATCCGACGCGAAACGGACGGCCAGGAACTTCGTCGGCACCGGCCGGCTCTGGAAACCAGGTTGAGGTCGAAGAGGAGGAGGATGGGGGGGAGGAGGAGGAGGAGGAAAGCGATGACGAAAACGACGAGCGTCCGCCGCGTAGCACTAGTCAGCGCACCTTGGAAGAACGGCTCAGGCGGGAACTTGAATACATAGATGACCTGCTCGAACAGGACGAGGATGCCGACCAGGAGAATTTGTCGGTGCCGCGTGAACAGTGGAGGGCGGCAGACTTCGTAGAGGAAGACATGGTGTACGCGACCATCGATGTGCTCGTCTTGGACGCCCTACGCCACCTGCAGACCGTGGAGAGGAACAGCACGTTGAGGCAGTACACCTCGTGGATCTATCACTACAAGAGGTGGGCGGCGAAGATGTTGATGCAAATTCGCAACAAGCTTCCCCAGGAGTACAGGCTTAAGCGCGTCGACAAGATAGGGCACTACATCCGGGACAACAAGAAGAAGAATTGGGACCAAGAGGCCGATGTCCCCCGGTCGCACGTGTGGCTGCACGGCCCTAGGGTCACCACGTCCCGGCTTCGCGCATACGTGAAGTACATGGCTCGGGAGATGAAGCTCGATGCCGAGTCCAGCAAGGAGGGCGACAACGCCACAGGAACACAACCTGTGCAATCCACAACGGTGCACACGCTCCTCGGGCGCATAAAGGCATGCCAGATGGCGGCGAGAGTGGAGGCGACGATATACCGGGAGACGGAGCTGAGCATCATGCGTGAGATATCGGTGGTCAGGTCGGAGGTGCGGTTCATGATCCGCACCAAGAACGAGCGGGACCTCAAGTGAGTTTTTGTTTAACCTCTGTCGACCACTCTCTTATTGTCATGTACTGTGTCGACGTCTCCCTAAATGCCCCTTACCCTCGGCATTGTCGGCAGGAACTGCACCGATCGGCGTCGCGGAACCATTGGCGATACCTACACCGCAGAACAGTTCCGCCAGATCATGTGCAGGGTGCTGCCGACGTGGGCGGCTAAGGCTTGGAACCCGCGGGGTACGGGCCCGTCGCAGACGCTGTGGCGGTTTCTGCTGTTGAAGGTGCTCACGCTACTCTCCCACCATTCTCTCCTGCGCGGGGCAAGCATCCGCGAGATCACGCTCCCCGACATATTCTTGTACCGACTGGCAAGCACCTCGTCGGTGAACCCGGAGAACCAGCCGGTCGTCATGGTCATCGCTGCGCGGAACTCGAAGACGTCCAAGGATGCGCGTCTGCAGCAGAGCTAGACTGCTCGGCACCTCGAAGCGGAGTTGAGCGCCGTCAGCGAGACGGGCCTGTGGTTGCACTTCATCCTCGACCAGATCGGCCAGTTTCACGGCGTCCGCCTCATTCCGCCGGTGGACACCAGCACACGCGCGAGCTGGTACAAGAAGCACCTCTTCTTTACCAAAAACGACACCGACCAAGGGGAGCTCTCCGCGGCAAGCCACCAACGCTGGACGCGGCAGTTGTGGGACAAGAACGGGGTGTTCTGCAAGAGGAACATGCACGCCGCTCGAGCGGGAGGGGCCCAGGAGCTGGCCATCGACGGCACGCCGCGCGCCGAGATCGCGGAGCTAGGTCACTGGGCGCTCGACAAGATGACGCGAGCGTACATCACCGCCATTCCGGTGGGGGTGGTGATGAAGAAGGCCGGTTACTCTGGTTACAAGCAGGACTACTTCTTGGGCCGGAGCAGGGTGGAGCCCTCCGATAAGCTCTTGAAGCTCCTCGCCGAGCACATCTTCCCCGGCGTCGACGACATGCTGAAGACGGTACGTTAGTCGATGCCTTCGTATCCTTGTTTCCGAGTCGTGTTGCCGACAGTGTCTGAACTTCTAATACATATGACGAATTGCAGGCGGAAGGGAAGGCTGCCGAGGGGTCCGACGCCGACAAAGCCGCGGTGCACTTCTGGCGCACACTCGCGATGCTGCGCCGCATCGTCGCCGAGGACCTAGCGGTGAAGCTGGTCCGCACACCATGGCACCGGTGCGTCCAAGGCTCCCTGCTCTACCGGATCCCCCTCTTCCAGCAGTGGGCAAAACGGGTCGAGAGGGTCGACACCGAGACGATCAACAAGCGTCGGGACCCGACCCAAATTCAGGCAGAGGTAAGTCGACGACGAGCTGGATGTAGGGCATTCCAAACCACCTCGCGGCTAACGTCTTTGTCCTACCGCTACAGGAAATCTCTGTCCGCATGGACACCGAGTACTACAACATATCCCTCAAGGCGACGCTGACGAAGGTGATCGAGCGCGCCGCGAACGAGAAGATTGACTTCTAGGAGGAGCTCGAGAAGCGCGACGACACCATCGCGTCTCTCACCGCTGAGATAACCCGTCTCACCGAGGCACTCCGTGTGTCAGAAGCACGGAGAGTGCCGGAGGCCCCGCCGTGTGCTACCGCACAATCTCCCAGCGAGGGTGGCTCGGCGGATTCGGCCAACATGGGAGCCGGCGCCGACGGAGGGGACGACAAACCCCCGCCACCCCCATAGACGGACAAGGAGGCTAGTTACGAGCTCAACGTGGTACAACCGTGGCGGGAGGCCAAGACCGTGAGGGACGCCTGGCGCCTCTGGAACTCCGCCATCGCTAATGACACCCGTCGGCTTTGCGACAGGATCGCCGAGCCAGGGTTCATCGACCGCCACACCCTCCTCGCCGGCGCGACGCAGGGTGCACTCAACAAGAGGGTGCGCCGCATGCTGAAGGTCATCGATGCGGTGCGCCAGCTACGCGCGAGCGATGGCGAAGCCGACAGCGAGGCCGTGGTCGACACACTGCACAGGATCGCGGCATCGGGCATCGGGACCTTCGCCGATGCCCTCACGGTGCTCAAACCGGGAACGGCACCGATGTTGTCCAAAGAGGCTGGCATGGGAGTCAAGGGGCTGGGCCCCAAGGTGGTCTCGAAGCTACGCCTCGCCTGTGCGCTTGTGGCGCTCAACCTGAAGCAGAGTGATTGGGTCGAAACCCTGTTTCCAAACACGTGGGAGGAGCAGATGCCGAAGACCAAGGCCGACCTGGCGAAGCCGACGGCACCGGCCAAGTCGACAGCACCGGCCAAGCCGACCGCTCCGGTGCACCGTCCTCCGACCAAGCGGAAGAAGTCGGCATGAGCGCGCTTGTAGGATATGCGTGTGCGTAGTTCGATGCTGTTAACTGTGGCAGACTTTAAACCCCCCTCCCCCCCCCCCCCCCCCCCTCTTTTTTCAAATGCTGTTCTGCTAGTTTGTAACAACCCACAGCAAGGCCATTGCGAACCTACTTGATCCCGTTGTATTAAATGTATTTGGTCGCTCATTACTAATCAAAACACAGATAGATGTCGACGTCACGGAGGTTTGCATGTTGCTAGGCTGTCGACATGTACCTAGTCATAGCTCGTCGTCGAGTAGCATGTTCTTATTGATGTCGACAGATGCGCGGACAAGGCTCATCGTTCAAAGACGGCTAGCAAGTTTCAATGTGAACAGTAGGGTTTAGGTTCATCACAAAGTGAAGCAAAGATTCGTGCCCTACGATCAAAAAGTCATTAGATTTACTACAACATCGGCGCCGACCATACCATAGCATCCCGCACACCACAGCCCACCAACTACGCATCCGTACTGCCCTTGCCCTCCTTGCCCTTCTTCCTCTTGCTGCCCTTGCCCTGCTTGACCTTCTCCCCCTTCCTCCCCCTGTGATCCATATCGTACTCCATCTTCGCGTCACACGGCACATCGATGCCCTGCTCTTTTAGCTTGGGCCCGGCGACGGGGCACATTCCCCAGAACGCCAAGGTCTCGACCGTCGCTCTGGCGATCATGTCGGCCTCGACTTCCTCAACTCCCTCCTCGAAGGCCCTGACCACTGCGTGGCGCTGCAGCGATGGCGCAACGTAATGGGCAACCTCCCCCGCGGGAGCCTCCCGACTGCGTGCTAAGTCGATCACCGCGTGCATCACCTTCTTGAATGTCTCAGCCCTCTCCTCCTCCGCACCTGCGACCATCGCCGCCGCCTTCCCTTCGCCCACAGCACCGAGCAACGACGCTCCCGTCTCCACGAAGCACCAGAGGGCGCATGCAGATGCCGCTAACGCATGGGCCGCCATTTCCGTCTTCTCGTCCGCCTTCCCCTCCGTGCCTTCCATCTCTGTCTTCTCTCCCGCATTCCCTTCTACACTCGCGTCGACCTTCCCAAACGCCGCGCTCGCTGCGACTTTCCCATACGCCGCGCACATCGACACGCGATTTACCATCGCCGACATGAGAGCCTCCGTCTCCTCCTTGCCTTCCTCTGTGTTTTCGATGATGGGGAACCATATCGCCGGCCAGAGCACCCCATGAAGCGCATCACCCGACCTTGCGTACCCACGGTACCTGCCGAGTATGTCGTTGATCCTTCCGCGCAAACACATTAAAACGACACCGACTTCAGCGTAATGACACCGACATGGTCGACAGAACTCGGCGCGTCGATAGCCGTCTTACCTTGCTCTCGGATGGCACAAGCCTCTGGCCCACATCACCGTCCACAACCCAGTCGGTAAGAACTTGACCTCCTCCCACACCTCCTTCCATTTCTCCAACTCCCCCGGCTTCAAGACGGTGAGCTCCTTCATGAGCACCTTGCTCACATAGCCGTCGTAGACGACGTACGCAATCGCGTGCTCGTAGGCCAGCTCCATCTTCTCCCTCGACTTGCCGATATATCGATTCCGTTCGTTTACCTTAATCTCGCCCACCCACCCATGCCCGTCGCCGGACCTGTCTTGGCGGATGCCATGCCCCCTGCGTTCTTTATCTCCCTCGCCGCCCTCCTCGTCATCCTCCTCCGCCTTCTCCTTCTTCTTCGCCGGCTTACTCTTGCCGCCCTTCTTGTCCTGACTCCCTTCCGCATTCTTCCCTTTCTCTTCCGACATCTCCTTCCCCGCCGACATCGCCCGCGTGCTCCTCTGAGAGACCGCGCTCCCTTTCTCGGTGTCGACCTTCCCCTGCCCTCCCGCATTACTCTCGGCGACAGCACCCGTTGCACCCGTCGGCTCCGCCGATCCCCCACCGTGGGTCGCCGACGGCCCCACATGCGCCGTGTCCATGATGGCCAGAGCAGGGGCGTGCTCAGGGCGTTCTGCTGCATCAAAATGGGCCAGGAAGGCAGCGAGTGCGGCATGCTTGTCGGGGCGGCCGCCGGTGGCTAGCGCTGCACTCACTCCCCTCTCCGCCGCCGCATCGACCACACCTGCACCTGGTGAGGGTGCGGTCGCGTTTACCGACGTCGTCGTCGCGCTTTTGCCGTGTTCCTGCTGAGTCACAGGTGGAGCAGCCGCTTTGCGTCCGACTAAATGGGCGCGCAGAAACGCTGACTTGGAGTCCGCAGGCGTTGGGGCGGCAACCGGATGCGCTGCAGGTGGGGCCCCGGACGATGTGCCGGCAACCTGCGGAGTGACGGAGCGACGTGCTGTTCCGGCAAGGCCGGCGTCGACCACGGGATGCTGCTGCACGTCCCTCCTATGTGCCTCCATGCGGTGGAGCATCTCCCTGAGCGTGTCAGCACCGGGGGGCCCCTTAGCTGATGCCGGAGTAGCGCCCTTAGCCGAAGCAGCCTTCGCGCCGCCCTTGACGGCAGCCGGGGCTCCTGGAGCTGGAGGGGCCGCACGGGCCTTCCCATCTTTGGTCGCACCTGACTGGCCGGCAGGCGCGCTGGTAGCCGCAGGGGGGTTACGGGGAGGGCACTTGGTGGTGCCGAGGACCGTAGCAGAAGCAGCCTTCGTCTTGCCCTTGGCCGCCACAGCGACGGACCGTCCCTTGGTGGTTCCGGCGCCGCCATCTTCCGCCGCCTGAGCAGTTTGGACCTCCTTGTCGGTCACGACTTTCCCACTGCTCGCCTGAGGATGGGTCTTCTCGGCGACCAAAGGCGGGCCTGGCTGAGCGGTGACGTTAGCGGCAGCCCCGTCGGCAGGGCCACCCTCTGCCGTCCCGCTTCCGCCACCCTTGGTGTTCAACGTCCTTATCACCCTCCACCCCGCCTTCGTCTTCAACTGGTCGACCACGCTCTGTGGCGCAGGCTTCGAGCCGCGGCTCCCGTCCGATCCCTTGCTCCGTTTCGCGTCGCCCTTCGCGCTCTCCTTGTCGTCTCCGTCGCCCGTCCTCTTCAGGCCCTGCTTGTCGGCCGTCTTCCGTTGCGCGTGATCGGCGTCATTGGCCGACGGCGACGACCCACGTCGACCAGGCGCCACAGTGCTGACCATCTCGGCCATCATCTTCATCCCAGAAGCGACGAAAGGCTGCTGGGTGGCCTCCGTCACCGCCTTCATAATGTCGGCCTTGAATGACTTCAAGAGCTCTTCCAAGAGGGCGGGCGGCGTGGGCGGAGGCGGTGGCGGCGGCTGCACGGGGAGACTGGTGGTCACAACGGTGGCGATGTTGACCTGCGCGGCGGATAGTTGCGTCGTGATGTACAGCTCCAAACCCCGCTGCGCTTCGCCCACCACCCCAGTCACATGCTCAGCCAACGCGTCGACCGCTACCGCGCGTGCAACTGCCACACGACCCTGCGGGTTGTCGAAGTCTTCCAACCATGCTGTCGCCTGTTCCGCGAAGGTCTTCATCGTCTTCCACGCTTCGTCGAAGCTGCCGGTGATGTTGCCCGTGATTGTCTTCGACGTGGCCGCCGTCGCGTTTCGCAGCTGTTCCGCCGCATACTTCTCGGTGTCGTCGACCTGCTCGGCCAACTCCTTCACGTGGTCAACGAGTCCACGTATCCCAACAAAAAACCTGTTCAGCCGAGCCTGCTCCGCATCGAGCAACGTCGCCAGCCGAGCGTTCTCCGCCCTCAACAGCCAGTTCTCCCGTCGCACCTGCTCGACGTCGTCCAGCTCATTACCCTGCCAACCAGAAGCGTCCTCCGTCTCCTGCACGCCCGTGGTGTTCGCCACTTCGCCGGCGTTGACCGACACCTTCCCACCTTCGCATGCCGCCTCCTCCCGGCCCTTTTCCGTCATTGCCTCCACGCCGACCTCATCCTTCTCCTTCCCCCCATCTGCCGACCTCGTATCATTACCCGCATCGCCATCCTCCGCTTCCTCGTTCTTTTCATCCACCGACCCCACCGCCTCTAGTGCAGCTTCCTCCTCTTCGAACTCCACCTCGTACTCCACCACTTCCTCCACCCCCTCCTCATCCTTCCCGTCCCCCTCCCCATCCTTCCCTTCCCCCTCCTCATCCTTCCCTTCCCCCTCCCCATCCTTCCCTTCCCCCTCCTCATCCTTCCCTTCCTCCTCCGCATCGCCGTCATCCTTCTCGTCCTTCTCCTCCTCCTCCTCCTCGTCCTCCTCCTCGTCCTTCCGCTTCTCCGCCTCCTCCTCAGACTCCGACTCCGACTCCGACTCCGAATCCTCCTCCGACTCCTCCTCTTCCTTCCTTCCTCCACATGTCGCAGTGTTGCCTCCTCCACCACCGTTTCCTCCTTCCGTGAACACCCTCGCGTTCCCCTGATGCTGGGCGGCAACTGCTGCTTGGGGCGCCGTCTGTCTTTCCGCGCCGTCGTCATCAATCACACTGTCGGGGGGTTGTGATGTCGGCGCCGCAGAGCGTTTTTCGGCGATGCGCTTGCAGATGTACTCCATCATGCTGTCTCGCAACGACTTTAGCCCCTTTGTCTTGATGTTCTCGAGTCTCACCGCACCACGACCCTTCTCGCCCATCAGCAGGTCAACGTGCTTGGCTACCCACCCGAACGACGTTGCGGCAAGCATGCCGGTGCCGACCTTCTCGTCCGACACTGTGTCTGGCACTTTCTACATACAACACCGGCAAGCGCAGAACACTGTGAGCGGAGCATACAGAAACGTGCACCCTCCTTAATGGATAAACGTGCAACGTGCAACTCACGTCGCGGATAGGGTGGTCACAGTCGGCAAGTCTGTCCTCCACTACTACTTGTGATGGCGATGCCCCATCCCACTGCCTACCGGGACACCCCAGCTCGGCCAGGACTGCCGTGCGGAATAGCCTGGAGCATCGTGGTAAAGGAAGGCGGTCAGCATGTGATACCCTGGGCCGGCGACTAACAAACGGGAAATCGACGACTATTCACAACTTACTTCAGCACGCGAGCGGCCTCGTCGCGGTGCTTCAGTTTCCCGGTATGCGGGTCGATGTGCCGGATCGAGGTCCTGCAGACCTGTCCCTCAGCCTTCAGCAGATCTCCTGGGTAGAGGATGGCTATGACGCTGCAGTGTGACCCTGGAAGCGGACCGCCGCTGCACATGCAATACACGACGCCGTCGACCACAACATTAGGCGATGATGCGACCGACTAAACAGAATGATAACTGGACAACGGGGAAACAGCTCACGTCGTGCTTAACGGGATGGCGGCGATGTCGGCGTCGAAAACCGTAGCAAAGCAAGAATGATCTACGGCCTTCAAGGCCGATCGAAGCGGGCCGACTCCGATTACCCACAACTTCTGGTCGTTCAGTTCATTGCGAAACCAAGCCTACCTGGGCGCACGAGTGGGCATGAGGGATGATGGGATGGCGGGTAAGCAAACGCTACCAGATCGACGCTTGCTATGCCGACCGACGTCCATGGACGGGGTCGCGACAATCTGCGACAATCCGCCCCCGACGGCGCCGACATATACTTTATGCGCCCATCTAGAGGAAGTCGGCGCCGATATCCGCCCTATTCTCCAATCGCGACTACTCGAGTCCCACCTGATGGCGAATCCCAAGCATCTGTCGGTGAACTTTTTCTTCTGGTCGCAAAGGGCGGCGAAGTCGTCCCACTCGAAGGTGAAGCTGAGACCGCGACCCATTCGGTGTCTAAGGGGAAAGTCAGCCCAAGTCGGCGCCGACTTCTCGGCGTCAGGGATCGGCTCCATATCGACTAAGGTACGATAGCACGGATCTAGGGGGAGGCGCAGAGCTGTCTGGGAAAATGAGAAAAGGAGAAAATGAGGAGCGAAGCCACCTTCCGCAATGAAAAGGGGGTGGGGCTGTTCAGCATCGCCCAAGGGTGTGGGGCCTAGCTCGGCAGGGCTCGGAGGGCGCATGCGCTAGTGGCACAGGTGGTCCGACTTGTCAGAATATGTTGTTTGTGTAGCCTGCAGTGGGGCACTCAATAGTGAGTACATCCCCTTAGGGTTTGCTATTTGTATCCTGCTGCTTGCTAGTTCAATCATTCCCTTCTCAATTTCATTCCTTCACACAACCTAGCTCGTACTTGGCGCCTCCTCGCTCTAGTCCTACTGTGGCCTAGGCTACTAAGCCTAGGCCGTGCTCCTACTATATCTGACATGGTATCAGAGGGCGGCATGTCTGCCGCCTTCCTGCGTATGGGCCCACCACCTGCTTCCGTTGCCCTACCGTCCGCCGCGCGCCCCGTGGTGCGCGGCGGGTAAACCCTAATTTCTGCCCGCCGCGCGCTCGGGGCGCCTGGCGGGTTTCCCTTCAGTGGCGCCCGTTGTGGTGCCCTTGGGGGGGCCTCCGCGTCCCCTCCCGTCGAAGCGCCCGTCGAGGCGCTCTCGGGGACCCGCGCAGCCTCCCCTCCCGTCGCCCGTCGAGGCAACCTCGGGGACCCGCGCGGCCTCCCCTCCCGCCGCCCGTCGTGGCGACACGGGGGCCGTCAGCGGCGCCCTCCCCGTCGCCCGTCGTGGCGACCACGGGAGCCATGCGCGGCGCCCTCCCCGTCGCCTGTCAAGGCGTCTTTGGGGGCCGTGCGCGACGCCCTCCCCGTCGCCCGTCGAGGCGACTTCGGGGGCCGTGCACGGCCCTCCTCGTCGCCCGTCGTGGCGACTTCGGGGGGCCCGCGCGGCGCCCTCCCCGTCGCCCGTCACGGCGACTTTGGGGGGCCTGCGCGGCGCCCTCCCCGTCGCCCGTCGAGGCGGCTCTGGAGGAACGTCGCGGCGCCCTCTCTGGTGCCCGTCCTGGCACCCCGGGGGGGGGGGGGGGGGGGGGGGGGGCGCGTGGCTCCTTGCTCGTCGCCCCTCGGGGCGCCCCTCCCTCCCCCTAACTCCTCCTACCTCCTCCTACCTCTCACCTGCAGCGGCCACCCCTGTAGCAGCCCGCACCTGCAGCAGCAGCCCCTGGAGCAGCCCGTGCCTGCAGCAGCCGCCCCCTCCCCCCCCCCGTGCTGCCCATTGCTCCCATTCCGCCGTGCGTTCCGCGGTGGTGGGGGTGTGGGGTGGCAAGCATGGGGGTGAGCGGAGTGGGTTCTCCCCTCCTCCTTTTTCATCTCCCACTGCTGCAGCTGCCGCTGAGGGGGGTGGAGGTGTGGGAGCTGTGGGAGTGGAGCTATAGGGGTGATGTGGGGAGTTGAGCTATGGGGGTGATGTGGGAGTGGAGCTAGGGGTGAAACAGGGGGTGTGTGTAGGGGGGTGTGGGACTGCTTGGGGAGGCTGAGAGGAGGCTGTCGTCTAGTCGTCCGCAGCACTTGTAGTCCGGGGCGCTATCTTGGTAGCCCAGAGAGCCTGCTACGCCTGTCGCCCGTGGGTCCGTTGCTCCTGTAGCTCGTCGTAGCCCGTGAGCCAGTTACTCCAGTAGTCCGGGGCGCCGTCCCGGTAGCCACTGTGCCAGCCGCTCCTGTTGCCCGTGTGTCTGCACTTTCAGCCGTCGTCTCCCATCTTCTCTCCTCTCACAGTCCCTCCTCTTCCTCACTTGCTCGTTGTGACTACCACTAGCTTTGCTCATAACTGTGAACCTTAAACTGTTGCTTCTTGTAATTGTGCTTAGAATGTGTGGTGACATTGTGATCCACCCTGAGCTTGTTCTGCTTTGCTTACTGTGCTGATTACACCCCACTTTGGCTATGGGGGTGTGTCAGAATATGCTGTTTGTGTAGCCTGCAGTGGGGCACTCAATAGTGAGTACAGCCCCTTAGGGCTTGCTATTTGTATCCTGCTGCTTGCTAGTTCAATCATTCCCTTCTCAATTTCATTCCTTCACACAACCTAGCTCGTACTTGGCGCCTCCTCGCTCTAGTCCTACTGTGGCCTAGGCTACTAAGCCTAGGCCGTGCTCCTACTATATCTGACACGACTCCGCCCTTGCAGAGCGACGACCTCGCGTCCATTGGCCCAGGTTGGCGAGGGGACGCACAACTCGCATGCGCGCGGAGCGTCTCTAGGGCCGACACATGTCGATTTTCGTAGCGGATCGCGGTGGTAGATGCGAGATTTCACATCGTCCGAAATTTCGCATGCGTGCGCTGCGAAGCCACGGATGAACATGTGGCGCGACCGCAACGGGTCGCGAAATTGTCGAGTGTCCCGAGGGGGCCCCGATTTTTCGCCCGGCCCTCGCCTGCCCGTCCGGTCAGGCCGCGATGGGTTACTAGGACCTCGCGGGCAGGTGGCACGGTTGGGCTGCCTTCGCACGAGGGTTACTTTCCCTCGCGCGAGCTGTCGCCAGTTCGCCGACCCCACCCGGTAACGTGGGCCGCTGTTCACTTTCGAAGCGGGGCTGCTCGGCGGCGGTCGTATGCTCGGCCCAGCCCTGGGCCAGGATGGCGGGCCCGCACGTGCGTCAGTCGCCCGCCTCGTCATTCTCGGCTCCGACGGCCCCCTTCGACGACACTGGCAAAACCACTCTGACGACCGAATTCCGATGAGGTTTTCGGGAAGGTGACGGCCAGCCATGCCATGGGTGTAACGCCACCCAGCCATGCAGCACCCAACGATACATCACCTCAGCAGGACACCGTGTGTGCTCTCAGCAGGACGCACCTGCTCGGCTACCTGTTGGTGGCGAAGCTAAAGTCGATGAAATGGTGGTGCATGCGCTGCGCGTGTAGTGCCCAGCTTTCAGCATCTCGCCATAACCTGTGAGAGTGTGACATGTAGCATAAGGGGGGAGGGAGCGAGGGAGAAAACATCCCAAAAAATCGAGCTTCTGAAAGTTACGGCGAAGCAAGTTTGCGGTAGCTGTGTGGTTGGTTTGGAGTGAGCTACCTTGGGGTTCCTGGCAAACTTACATTGAAGTTGCACTTGAGCTCGCGACACATCAGGGAAAAAGTGGCGACGAATCTGTGCTGCACATCTCAAAAATGTGAAACCTACTTCAGCGTGACTTTGGTTGTGGTTTCGCTTCCACAGCACACGGAATTCTAATCTGTGCCGCACATCTCAGCACTCTCAAAGCTACTTCAGCGTAGCTATGAATATGATTTCGACCTTCCAATACACGTGTCAGGCACTCATTCCCTCCTGTGTGATGGAACTGAAAGTCGTAAGCCAATCGAAATTGCCTGGACCAATAGACCTTATTGGCCAACGTCATCAAACCACAGGATGCCACACAGTTCGCGTACAGGTGAAACTGATTGGGTAACGATCTTCGTTAGCTGCTTGCAAAATAAATGCGTTACTGGTTACACATTTGGTTATTTGGATTTGTAGGCTTGCTTCTTACAAACAACAATTGTAAGGAATTTCCTGAATTCCTTATCGGGGTTGACTGCTTCGCGTACAACCCGATTTTCGGAGTTCGCACGTTCCGCCGATTTCAACGCTGCCGAGGCTCCTCGCGTCGCCTTCGGCATTTCCATCGCCAAACCTGCACCCAACCTCGCTCGTCCGAGGTTTCCTCCTAGCTAGACTAGCCCTACATTAGTCTGTGCATTCATTGTATTCTCAGTTCATCTAGTCACAGTCGCGTTATTCGTTTACCTGCGCACTCTCTTTTACAACTCATAACACCTGGTATCAGAGCTACTTTCCTAGTTCACCCCGCTTTTCCGAGGGTAGTTTGGTGGCATAGGGTGTGGCTGGTTTAGTGACTACACGGCGGTTGGCTGCAGAGATTGTTGATTCAATCCTGCCCGACTCCGATAGTTCGTGTTTTCACTTGCGTGAAGGCCACGGAGACCCGACTGCCCACCAGACGTAGCGCTAGGCACATGGATCAGGAGGCGGTCAACAGGATGATGGCGCAAGTGGCACAAATGCAGGAGAGCATGAAGACATTAATGGCAGAAGTGACAACACTGCGAGAGGAAAACGCCGAGCTACGCAAGACGCGAGGTGAAGCGCGTCAGGAGTCGCCTGTGGACGAAGGCGAGGGCAACAGTCAGGCGATGAGCAATCCGCTGGATGCGCTCACACGTGACTTCGAAGAGGAGGACAGGCAGCGAGCGGCAGCAACGCCAGTTGCAGTAACGACGATCAAGATCAAGCCCGTTAACCCGCCCCCGTTGAACCCTATGGACAAGACGGTTACAGTAAAAGGGTGGATGTTCGGGGTCGAGGTCTTTTTTACTGTAGCCGGA